TTTTTTGAGTTAAATCTCATTTTCTTTTAAACTATATACTTCAACTAAAAATAAGTTAGTTCCAAAAATTGCTGGTACCTACTAATAGTCGATTTTTTAAATTTTATTTCTAATGTCGTTAAAATTAAAAAATGCCTTTTCATACAAAGTATGAAAAGACTTTTGAAATACCAAACAAATTTTTTGGTTTGCTTATATCTTTAAGAGAATGCTCAATGAATTAAAATATATTAAAATAAATTAAGTTAAGATAGAACTGTATTTATATATTTAAACTTTTTTTATTCTTTGTTTTTTCATCTATGTTTATATCTCATCTTTGTCCATTTTGAACTTGCATTGTTTACAAGGTTATTTTTTATTTTAATTAGGTTATATCAGATTGAGCTTTCCAGTCAATATTATATTATTTAAGATAAAATGTATAATATTAAATGGTAAATATGTTGTTGTTGTTATTGTAGTTATGGTTAATAACTAATGATAAGACTAAATTTGTCTTCTTCTAGCCCCGGTCATGTAATTATTTTTTTTTATAAGTTACGACTGTAAATTTTTTTTATCGGCAAAAGTGTAAATAAATAAAAAAAAAAAAACTTTTATTTATACTTAATTTAAATCTTATTGAAGGACTAAAGAAAAAAGATTTTGAGCAGTATCATAGCCTCATATATAGATTGTATTACTTTTAAGTTTAACATTTGCAGTAATGTGTACATTAAAATTTTTTTTTTGCTACCTGTAAAGTTTATTCTTAGATACATCTAATTAAATTTTTACTAGTAAAGCATTTAATAGTGTGAATCGTTTAGTTTTTATAATAAAAAAATGCTGTTGTATTCATTTAGACAAAACTTACAACAAATGTTCAAAATAAAGATGTGTTGCAGCGACATTTTGTAGAAAGTTGTGGGAGTACGGGCTAGCATATGTTATGTTATATGTTAAAAGATCAGATCAAAAAGTTTTATCTTAATTGTTAAGTGGCTAGATGTTTAAATGTTGTTAATTGACAAAAAAGTTATTCCTTCAACTAAAAATAACTTAGTTCCAAAAATTGCTGGTACCTACTAATAGTCGATTTTTTAAATTTTATTTCTAATGTCGTTAAAATTAAAAAATGCCTTTTCATACAAAGTATGAAAAGACTTTTGGAATACCAAACAAATTTTTTGGTTTGCTTATATCTTTAAGAGAATGCTCAATGAATTAAAATATATTAAAATAAATTAAGTTAAGATAGAACTGTATTTATATATTTAAACTTTTTTTATTCTTTGTTTTTTCATCTATGTTTATATCTCATCTTTGTCCATTTTGAACTTGCATTGTTTACAAGGTTATTTTTTATTTTAATCAGGTTATATCAGATTGAGCTTTCCAGTCAATGTTATATTATTTAAGATAAAATGTATAATATTAAATGGTAAATATGTTGTTGTTGCACTAATCGACATATATTGCGGTTTATTACAACATATTGCAATATTATTGCGCGTTCAATTTAAATTGCTATATATTGCTCAATTAATTGTCCAATAAAATATCAATAAAATTATACAAATGTAATGTGTTTGTAAATGTAATTTAGATGCATTTAAATATAAATAATTCTGATGCTTATCTAATTGCCTGTGTCATTTTTTTGTTTTACATAAATTTAATGGGTTTACAAGCAGTAGCAAGATTGTTGTTAAAATATTACAATATAATTGCAATATAATTGCAATATAATTGTAATATTATTGCAAAATTATTGCAACTAATATTAGGTAATCGATTTTATGATTGTAACTGAAGTTACAAGCATGCTTTCATTGGACTTTATACTGCAGTGTAAGTGCGGCCAGGCAGGTTTCTTCGGCGCACGTTAGACATGGCTTGCATGAGCCCAGCAAACCTGTCTGGCCACACAAGATACCCGTGCAAAAATAACATAGTTTTTTAATAAGTAAAGACTCATAAAATTTTATTAATGGTGAATATATGTGCAATGAAACGAAATTTTTTTAATAGAAAGTACGAGAGAAGAATTTTACATTTTACGGCTGAGTCTACTTCTTCTGAAGAGGAAATTACTAATAGTAGTTCTCAGTCCGACTGTAGCAATACAGATGATAATGTTAATGATGGTAGTTTTACCCAAGAGACAGAAGAAATTGTATCTATAGTATCTGAGGAAGAAAATCAAATTCTAGTATCTGAGGAAGAATCGAGTGCTTCCATGTTTCAGTTCTTTAGTTCTAATCCATTTGTATGTTCTTTATTGGATTCAATTGTTAACAAAAAGTTTATGTTTTTAACCTTGTTGTATTTAATGATTAGCAATTCATTTACTGAAATCGCATTTGATAGATTTTTGAAGACTTTGCTGGTATGTTAGATGTAGTTTAAATTGTGCAATGTACTTGTAAATGAATATTGTGAAGCTAATAAAATTATCAATCAACTTAGTCCTTAGCAATAAATGTTGATCTGGCTATTTATCTCTGGCTGCTACCAGAAATGGTGCACATTGCCAATAATTCGTAAAAAAAGTCTGATAAAGTAATGCAGAACGTTCCTAACAATAAAACATTTTACTTGTGAAAATTTTATCCAACTTCTTTTACAAATTATATATTATATAATAATTTAAAATTATATATTATATATTTTATATCTATAGTTTTTACAAATTATTTTTTTTACAAATTATTAAATTATAAAAATAATGAAGTATGTCATATTTTTATTTCAACTTGAGGCTGGGGTCTGGCCCAGGCTTAGTTTGGTTGATAAAGCTTGAAAAAATATATTTTTAATTTTTAAATTTTTTTAATAGATTTTTCGCTGTATAAATGACATGCCGTCATCTCATAAAATGATTCGTAGATTTGTTACTAAAAATATATTCTCCCATACTGAACCAACGCATAAATATTATTGTCATAATTGCTGCACAGCTTTAGTTGACACGTGTAAAATAAATACTCATTGTTCATCCCATATCTTTATATTGGATATCATTAGCCAAATGAAACTTGTTTTATTTCTGAATTTGGATGCAATTAAATCATATCAATTGGAAATTATGTCAGGTAAAAGAAAGAGTGATTTTATTTCTAGACCAAATTTTGTTGAAAATATGAAGTCTGCAAATGTTTTACATATTCATTTATTGATGTCAACAGATGGTGGAGAACCATACACAAAAAAAAAGATTACAATGTGGCCATTTCATGCTATTATTTTAGATTTACCATCTTATAAACGATTCCTATTTGAAAATACACTACTTCTTGGTTTATGGTTCTCATTATTAAAACCTAATTGAAATGCTTATTTAAAGGTAATTAAATTATTGATTGTTATTTTTTATTTTAAAAGTAGTTGTCAATGGAATTACCTATAGTAGTAGAATTCACTGTTCCAGCCGTGACAAGAATAAATTGGGCAACGTTACTATATTACTAACTTTTTTTTAGGAGTACATCAATGGAAAACTGTTTGAAACACCCCTTGAAATTAACAATATCCAAGTAGTTATTCATATTGTTGGTTTTGTTTTCGATTTGCCTGCAGTGGCTTCAATCATCAATCATAAGCAGTATAATGGTGAATTTAGATGTCACTATTGTAAACATCCTGGTAGAACAATTGAAAGAAAACATGGTTCCGCTAGAATTTATTCACATTCAGATACAAATTATAATCTTAAAACATCTGAAATGTATGCCATATATGCTAGATTAGCCAAAAAATCAAAAGTATCTGTATTTGGAATTAAAGGCTCAAACATCTTTAGTGACATTTCATTTATTAAAGTGCCAGATATGATACTTATCGATGCGTTACATTTGTTTTACGAAAATTGCTCAAAAAAGCTTTTAGTTTGTTTATTTTCTGTTACCAATAAACACGAATCATTTTTTATTGGTAGTGTAAAATTAAATGCTATAGAAATCTTACTTGCTGATCAAAAAATGCCACATAACATGCCCAAGCCATTAACTATTAAATCATTCACACATTGGAAAGGCCATGACTTTAAAAACTTTATTTTATACTTAGCAGTTCCATATTTTTTACAATATTTGAATCTTGACTGCATGATGATGATTTATTCTCTAGTAATTGGTATGCGTTTGTGTAGCAGTGAAATATGTTTAGATAAGGTGTTGCTTATTAGTCAGCTGTTTAACTTTTATCAAAAATCATTGTCTGAGTTGCTTCCTTTATATATGAATACTATAAATGTTCATTTGCTTGGTCATGTTAGCGATATTATTAAAATGCATGGAAGTGTTACAAATTACTCAATGTTTTGTTTTGAAGCTCGGCTAAGTAATTATAAAAAAATGATGAAGGGAACACATGGTCATCCACAACAGATTGTACAAAAATTTCTTGACTTCAAAACAGCTTCTTGATTTTTGCAAACAACAGATCATCCTAAAAAAGTTGAAGTTTGTAAAGCATTAAATATTGGCATTATTGAACAAGAAGAATTGCAGTTGTTAAATCCGGGCAGATTGTTGAAACATGGTATTGTTTACCATTCAAAAGGTTATGGCAAACATAACAGATACACTTGTTAATTTGGACATAATAAGTTTGGTATCATATTAGATTTTCCTTTAGTTGACAATGTAATACATGTTCAGTTACAACTATTGAATGTGAAGTGTAAGTTAGTTTCTACTTTTGGTGATATGATTGGAAATTTGGAAATTAACTTTGATGATGACTTTTTTTTTATTGTTGAACAAACAAAAAACATTGTTGTTATTTCAGCTGACACTTTAGTCTGCAAATGTATATTAATTAAAAGTAAATTAGATACAAAAGATGTATTAATTTTGACACCATTGAAAGAACTTTTCGAATATGCTTAGGGTGGCTAAATGTAAATTTTGTAATTAATAAATATGCTTCACATCATGCATGTGTGTTTTTTTATACTAACAAACATTTTTGTTTTTATTATTTTGATAATTTGATTTAAAATAATTTGATAACTTGATTGAATTTTTTTACAGGTTTATATTTTATTAAATAATGACTTACCCTGATAGAAATAGAACAAAGAAATTAGATTTTGTAGACACTCAAAAGCTTTCTTCTACGTTTGTTCTTTTATGGTACAAGGATTGTGAAAAAGATGAGCGGCATACCTCTCCCATATCACTTTCAAATACACTTTTTAAGCATTATTCATCCGTTGAATGCCTTGAATTTCAAGTGGTAAGTGTGTTAAAAAAAACTGACAGCATTTACCATACATAATATAATTAAAGTCCACCCTTAAATTTTATCCCCCCTCCCTATAATTGACAAAGAAGATAAATTTTGTTTTGTTTTTTTACATACCAGATATTAGCTGAATATATCAGCTATCAGCTATTAGCTGAATATATAGAAGCCCACCTTAAAATAGAAGCAAGTATTTTAGATGCCCACGAATAAGATAAAAATGTTTTTTTTTTTTTTTTACATAGCTGAATATATAGAAGCCCACCCTAAAATGGAAGAAGTATTTTAGATGCCCACTTTTTAGGGATGTTGAAAAATGGAAGCCCCTGCTTTTATTATACTATTTATGGTGTTTTGATAATTAAATTTAATGTTTTTTACTTATTAGAAAAATGTAGTGCATGTTTCTATTGCAAATATACAACACGCAGCTGTCATCATCTATAAGGGGTCTATTACCCAATGCTGTAAATTTGAAACATTGCTAGATAACTTCATGGACGATTTTGGTGATGAAAATCCTAGCACTGATGAAGTAAGCAAGTTTGCCCTCAATTATATTGAAGGCAATACTGACGGAAAAAGAAAACATTCTGATGGAGACCAATCCTCAGGTAACTTATGTAATATAAATATGTGACAATGACAAGACAATATTATAGTAATTTTATTTAAAATTTACTCTTCTGTGTAGTGGTGAACTGGACCATGGTGCCGGAGTGCAATAGCACCCTTGGTCAAAAAAAAGGAGGTTACCTTTGTTACCAGACAGAGTTTAGTTATTATGTCTGCTACACAAGTAATAATTAATTAAACATTTTTGCTAAATAATAAAAAATGACACAAAATTCACACAAAAATTATCAACACAAGTTAAAGTTGCACTATCCGATGGTAGGTGGGGATCTATTGGATCCACTAGTAGCCTAGCCCCTAGTACACCCATGATTATATGTTTGTAACCACAACTTGTTCATGTTTTTTTTTATAGATTCAGAGAATATTGCACCGGTCTCAGAACATACAGGCCTAAACGGACCTAAATATAAATCGACTCCTAAATCAAAGGTGCTGAAAAAAAAACATGTAAATGAAGTGTTGAATGAAAATTCAGGTAATTTTAATAATATTACAATTTTGTTTATGTAATTTCTTGAACATATTTTTATTGTCTTTTTCATTTATAGAATCAGAGTCCTTTGCATCATTTTATAACAGTCAAAAAGGATCTAAAAAAAGTGAAGCACAGATTATGGCTTTGGAAAAGCGGAAGCTTGACATGCTACTTGACAATGTTGATGCTCCCAGAGCATTGATGCTTCCAATAATTAGTGATGTTCCTAAAACAAAACACTGTGGTTCACCGAAGTTAAGCAAACTATCTTGTTTAGAAGGTTAGTTACAGTCCTATAGTATGAATACTGTGTTTGCCTAAGTTCTACCATATTGTACTTGTACATAGAAGTGCTATATATTTTTTTTAACATTAGCAATTTTGATTGAATAAAAGAAACTTTTTTTTGAACGAAAGAAGACCAACAAACTGTTGTCTGAAATTTTGCGCCCAATAGAAAAAGAATCTGTAAATAATGATAATGTACGTCAATTTAATTTTTGTAATTTAATTAAAAAAATCTCATCCAATGAGAGCACAACTTGCTAGTATTTACCAAATTGAATAAAAGAAATATTGATTGCTAAAGGAAAGGTACATTTATATACAAAAGGTTGCATAATTTGACCATCCATTGAAAAATGTTTACTAAATCCGAACTTATCTGTATTATACTTTTTAGGCCGTGTATACTGGTTTTGATGCCGAATTTAAATTGCACGACATTCAAAAACGAGAACCATGTAGCTTTGCAAGAAAATTTATTTTGTTGCGATTCGGAAAGGAGTTTACTTGCACGCGTATTTGTGAACCAAACGGACCTACTGCACGCATTCATATGGAGAATGAAGAAATTCAGGAAGTTAAAGGTGCACTTGACAAAGTGTTTACGTCTTACAACTGGCGTGTTGTTCGGGCGAGTATTAATCAATTTTTCCGAGACAATAAAAGTAGTACAAAAGTTTGAAGACTAAACAAATGAGTGACATTTTTCTTGTGGTGTGGGGTTGTCAGCGTTTTTCGCTTATCCCCCCCCCCCCCCCATTCTATCTGTAATGTGTTTTGTATGTTTTGTGTGTTAAATAAATACACCATCTTATTTATTCTAAATTTAGTTGTTTATTTAATTTTTAAAATTCGAATTTAGTATGAATTCAAAGTGTACATAAATGTTTCTTTCAAATGTCAACTTTCAGCGCTGCTGCTAGACGATAATAAAATTGCAAAGAGTTTTATTGTCAATATTGCGAGATTATTGCCCAATATAATTGCAATTTTATTGCGAGATTATTGCCCAAGATATTGGCCAATATTATTACAATTTTATTGTCAATATTGCAATATTATTGCCCAATATATTGCCAATCCATTGCAAGTTATTGGCAATATTGGCCAATAAAATTGCAATATAATTGCAATTAAAAAAAAAATATATTGATTAGTGTGTTATTGTAGTTATGGTTGATAACTAATGATAAGACTAAATTTGTCTTCTTCTAGCCCCGGTCATGTAATTATTTTTTTTTATAAGTTACGACTGTAAATTTTTTTTATCGGCAAAAGTGTAAATAAATAAAAAAAAAAAAACTTTTATTTATACTTAATTTAAATCTTATTGAAGGACTAAAGAAAAAAGTATCATAGCCTCATATATAGATTGTATTACTTTTAAGTTTAACATTTGCAGTAATATGTTTCAAATTTCCAAAGAAAATATGTATAGTTTAATATTAACATAATTTATATAAATATTATATAAAATTTATAAACATTATTGATTTATAAATACAGTTTCAATAGTTGCTTTTTTAGATAAATTATTTTATCAAACTTGGTGGCTGTAATTATAAAGATGCAATTTGACGCATTATTTCAGCAGCAATAATTCAAGTTTGACCAATTTTTTGTTTTAACGGCAGAAAAGGAAAACAGTCATTTGATAGATGTTTACTCTGCCATCAAATTATTAGAAAGTTTTTAAAAAGATTTTTATATGGCAAGTTACAAATAAATTTTATTTACATATTATATAAAATTTAAAAACATATTATATTATAAACCTGACTACTATTCATACTTGTCAACTAATCGACTGTCGACAATGTGGCTTTGACAAGTACAAATAATAGTCATGTTTATATATAGATACACTGCTTCTTTACCTTTAGAAGTTACACTTGTTTTACGTAATACATTTTTATGTTAAAATATTTATTTGTTTTAAAAGAAATCACTAGTTATATAGTATTCATTTATATTATATTTTCATATAATAGTTACAATAAATTATAAGATATACAGATGATGATGAATGGCAGCAACATGCGGAAAGTGCAGCTGTTTTTGTGTCAGCTGCTGCAGATGTTATTGACCCACCACATGCATCCGTAAGTTAGGTGAATCCGGCACATATTTCATCAACTGGCAGCATGCATGTTGAAAATGGTTAGTAGAAGTTACAATACTTTAGTTGATACTTTTTGTAAAGAAATCACTAGTTATATAGTATTCATTTATATTATATTTTCATATAATAGTTACAATAAATTATAAGATATACAGATGATGATGAATGGCAGCAACATGCGGAAAGTGCAGCTGTTTTTGTGTCAGCTGCTGCAGATGTTATTGACCCACCACATGCATCCGTAAGTTAGGTGAATCCGGCACATATTTCATCAACTGGCAGCATGCATGTTGAAAATGGTTAGTAGAAGTTACAATACTTTAGTTGATACTTTTTGTAACAATTACAAAAACTACAAGAACAAAAGTATTACTGTTTTTTACAAGAAACTTAAAATAGTTTGGTACTTATTAGGTTTACATATAAATTTTGTGGCCCAAACCTGCTAGACAGCAATATATTGAATTAAAACCAATTCTATAAAGTACGTGTGCATTTTTTTACAGAATGAGAAACCAAAACAAATAATTTTGCTCCAAAAACAAATTTTATTTCATTAAATTTTTTTAAATTAAGATTTCTCTTTCTGTAAAAAAGTTTGTAGCTTTTTTATAGACAACCCTCTTAATAAGAAATGTAGTTTGTGGTTCTTATTTAACTCGCTTTCAAGATTCAACCATAATGTTAAAAAATTTAATATATACTTGTTTTTCAAATGTGATATATGAAATGCTTAACTATCATTAAAAACAATCCTATATTATATACCTTTTAATGGTAATTAGTTACGCAGCTAACATTTTCAATATTTTTATTAACTATTGTGAATATATGGTTTTAAACTTTAATAAGACGCCTGTACAAAAAATATTAAGGAGGTGATAAAGCATGCTCCTAATCGACCAGGTGGATTAACTAAGAAGTACATTAAAGTTTTTTTTTTGCTACCTGTAAAGTTTATTCTTAGATACATCTAATTAAATTTTTACTAGTAAAGCATTTAATAGTGTGAATTGTTTAGTTTTTATAATAAAAAAATGCTGTTGTATTCATTTAGACAAAACTTACAACAAATGTTCAAAATAAAGATGTGTTGCAGCGACATTTTGTAGAAAGTTGTGGGAGTACGGGCTAGCATATGTTATGTTATATGTTAAAAGATCAGATCAAAAAGTTTTATCTTAATTGCTAAGTGGCTAGATGTTTAAATGTTGTTAATTGACAAAAAAGTTATTCCTTCAAATTTCAAAGTATTATTCCCATGTTAGGTAACAGCTTAATTAACTTAACATTTCAACGGTGTCCTTATATTGAAAAAAGTTTTTTTCACCTAGTACTCAAATTAATATAGCAATAATAAAATATAAGTTTCAACAATAATATTCGTTTTAAAATATATATATATATATATATATATATATATATATATATATATATATATATATATATATATAATAAATTTTTTATTCAAAACTTGTAAAAATGCACTTTATTTTTTGGTTAAAAAACTATAGTTTTTATTTAATTAAATCTGAAAGAATAATTGTTTCATTAAACAATTATTTAAATGAAGTCTTATACAATTTCATTAATTTGAAGATCCAACATGAGACTTTTGAATTTTTTTATTTTCAAAATAATAGTGACCCGTTAAAAAGTAAAGTTAATTATGCTGTCCCGAAAACACATTATTGTGAAGCAATGTCATTGTTTGTGTATAAATAATTCATGAATAAAACTAGTTTGTTTATCAAATCCACAAAAAGCATTTGTTTTTAATTAGGAATTGTTTTTATTTATTATACTGTATGGTAAGGTTTGGTACTTTTACATACGATATGCATGTTTTTATGTTTTTAATGTAATTAGCTGGACTTTTACCTGGAATAACATGTATTTATTTTTTATGTTGTTAATGCTATTTTGTAAAAATTTAGTTTAAATTGATTTAAATTGTTATTTATGCTCTATAGGGGAATATATTATATAATTTTCATCACAAGAAGTATTATTTTTCTTAATTGTAATCAGCTTAGCAATTTGTGTGCCTTTGGTCGAAATGTATATTAAATCGTAAATGTAATAGTTAAATCGTTGGTTTTCGTATAAGCTTCATATGGTGTAATTCAGCTATAAAACATGGGTATTTATTAAGAAAAAATAGGTTTTGTAAATTTAAAAAAAGATTACATTACAAATACTAGCAAACGTAGGTTTAAAAAGAAGGTATGTTTAAATTTATACATTGAAAAGAAAAAAGATGTTGGGTTAACGTCCGTGTTCGTAATAACACGTTTAAGGTGGACGTTTAAGAGCTATCTAAGTAACGTTTCCAGCAAACGTTTGCCGTTTGTTATTTAAACGTTCAGCGAACGTTCAACAACAATAAGTTTGTGTTCAAAAAAATTTGTTTAAATAACGTTTGCAGCGTACGTTATGCAAACCTAAACAAACGTTATGGTAACGTTTTTTGAATGTTAATTTTTAGCTGGGGTAAACGTTCAAGAGCTATCAAAGTAACGTTTGCAGCAAACGTTTGATTAATGTTCGTTGTTTTTTGTTTGAACGTTCACAGCGAACGTTCAAGAACTGTAAATCGGAGTTCACAAAAGTTGGTTAAAAGAACGTTTGGAATGTACGTTATTTAAACCTAAACGAACGTTATGGTAACGTTCTAAGAACGTTAATTGTTAGCTGGGTAGTGACTTAACTTAAAATTTCTAAATGTTTAAGAATATTGTGGTGTAATAAGAGTTGCTATCCAGTTTTTAGCTGAAAAAAGCTCTTTTTTCATCAACTAAGTCATCTGCCTATAAGAATAGAATAATTGTCAATGTTTCTTAATTTTTAAATAGTCAAAAAGTATAGGATGCCTGATACAGTATATATTTCAATTTTAATCTAAATGTAAAAATATAAAACAAAGAAACAATTTTATATATGAATATTATGCAGGTTAAAACTTTCAAGAAACAAAATTATAAGAAACAAATAAAAACAACATGCTAGACTTAAATAAAACTAGAATCAAATTAATGAAATAAGTAAAAATGTAAAAAACGGAATCAAATATTTTCACAAACTTTCCGTTATCTAAATTAATTCTGCCATGAAAAGGTAAACATTGGAACCACTGTATTTCGAGAGAAAATTCATTTGTCACAACTTTAATTGTTTCCACATTTTCCCACTTTTTTTCTTATGACCAAAACTTATTATGGGTGGCTATTGCAGACTGAAAACGTTTCACTTCGTTTAAACCTTTTAGAAAATGTTGAGTTCGAGACCAAGTTTAGTTTCGCGTTCATATCTCTTTGAGCAATTGCATTCAATCAAATAAGTTACGAGTTGACAATTATGTGGTAACTTAGTTTTGTTTTTCGGCGTTAGTAATGTTCTTAAATTTTGATTTGATTTGAAAACTACTCTATAGCCAGCTTTGCGAAACATTTTCGTTAGTTTCGGGGATAGCAATGGTATCACAAATTCGGCAACCCCTGAGAAAAAAATAGAAACAAAAACTATTTATGTAAGAAACATAAATAATGAATCAATCATCACTTTTCGCGACCTTCTACAAGAAATAAACTGGGAACTATTGACTAATTGCAATGATGTAAATAATGGCTATGATTTTTTTATTCGCGTGTTTACTAAGCAATACGAAAAAATCTTTTCAAAATTTAAAAACTTATTATTTCTA